CGATTTCACAACAGTTAGAATTCTCCTTGAACAAATTGCAAGGTTCTTCGCAAACCGTCACGTTTTTGTTAACTGACATAATTCGCGTAATTGCTTTATAATTTATTACAATCAACACTTTTGTAGTTATAATAATAACAAAAAATTATTAAACTATTTAGAGGTCTGTAATAAAAAATCTGACATCAATATTGCTCTCGCGCTTCTATTCTTTTGACCGGCACCTAAACAGAAACCTAAATGGGCAGCTACTGTTTTCTTGCCCACTAGATGGCGCAAAGACAAGAGGATTTTTGTCCAATCATGCAGCTGTCAAACATTGAACATCCAATGATGTGATACTTGCTAATTCCCTATTCGACGAAGAACGGGCGTCCACACTAGCGCCGTCTGGTTTTAGAAGAATGGGTACTTATTATTTACTATGTACGATGTAAATGATATACCTGCACGTAAATTACCAAATTAAAATGGACTCGAAGACTTAATTTTATATTTCACTAGCTGACCCGGCAAATATCGTATCGCCTAAAAATGTTTGTCTCACTTTTTATACCTTCCCTGGAATTCTTCGACCATTTCATTACCAAAATTAGCCAAATCAGTTCAACCGTTGACTTTTAGTGAGACTAACGAACGGAAATTTCTATTTTATATAGATAGATATAACTACGGAACATTGCATATGCGACTACAACTCGTACTTGACTGATATTTATTTCAGTGAAGAAAGGCGAATAATTACATTTCAATGCTGTACGTTAAGGCCTGCTCCATTCAGTGTTTCATGCAATTTTCGCGTTATCACGGTCACTGACAAGTGTGTCGTCGTAGTAAAATAACATTAGGGCTGGTGAAGGCGCAAGATTGCCGATTGTAAGTACTTTTTTAAAACTCAATGATGAATAAAGATGCTTTAGTAGCTTGTTCACATATCTTCCTGAATGAGTCGACTGCAAAAGTAAGTACTTTTGTTGTAAAACTATCATCTATACTTGAAACAGTCGAGTAATATGCTCCCACCTGGGTGAGGAAGTGTCAGACTCTTATTGACTGAAAACCACCCTGTTCCTACTCCTGGACTTCGAGTCGGAGCCTCGGCAACCCGTTAAGTTTTTCGCGGCTCCGTATCCGCATCAGCCTTATTGGGCCCGGTTCAGTACAATCGAGCAGTTACGAGCTTACTGATTTTGTTTTACTATTCTATTTTTTTTAAAAGTATTGTTAATTATTGTCTGCACATTCTCAGAGCTCTTAAGCCAAGCATACACTAGAGGACACATTTCCCACGACAAGTATCGGCAACATGTCAAGCGACGGGTGATTTCGCCCGACATATACGTATAATTATGACGACCAAAGTCGCCCACTGTTGCGCTACTTCAGTCAACGTCGCTGGCGATACGTGTCACAGACATTTGTCAATATAATGAAAGAAATGAGACTTTCGTGAGACAACAATAACTTTAGAGACTCGGTTGCTTAAACTGTCAAACACCAAGCGGTCACCGGTGACCGCAACCTATTGTTCCATAATTGGGTCTATAATGACGGTACTCGACGTTAAGTTAAGAAAAGAAAAAAAAACAATTACTTGTCAGAATATTTGAAAGATTAGCATTTATTTTATTTATTTATTTACAAGCGGTATGTACGACTTTGTGGCAAATTTAACTCGACACAATAACCACGTGATTATAAATTAAAAATCACACGTGAGTCGTGTCTGGCATAACTAATGGTCATTTGAAATTCAACTATGATATGGAAACAATGAAAATAAATTCTATACAAATCATTGACTAGAGGCGCGGCCCGGATATGCTCACATGCCATTTTCTAATGAATTTTATAATAACTACCGTGAGACATACTAAAATAACTAAAAATCGCGGGTTACTCACGTGAATATACTGAGAAAAGCTCTACTAGTTTCGAACCATAGAGGGGTTCTTCCTCATGGGCAGCGATTTTAAGTTAATTCTGATGAATTTTTAATGTGTTACTAAAAAATGAATTATTATTGAATTAGGAACAACCATGCATTCTGGAGACTCAGTTTTATTAACGTACAAGTTAAATTCCAACTTTATAACAGGTTTTTTTTATTATTTTGCACCGTTTGTCAAAAAATACCCATTTATATATGTTAATGACGTTCGCTACTTGATGAGCCTGCGCAATGCAAGTGATCTAGTTACAGTCGGATTCGCTGTGTAGTGTAGATACTGTATATAATTCAAAACATAGGTACTTATGTAAGTAACTACAAAATACTGATAGACTAGGAGCAGCAAAGTAACCTACTTTTCAGAATTTTATTTTTAGGTAGATATTTATTTTGACTTTTTTGCAAAAATGGCTTTTGATATCGTTCAATATATCAAATACATACGTACTTACCTATAGCAATAATTAAAAATTTATTTACGCTTATTGAACAGTGTTTTAATTAAACAATCATTGCGTTCTGGTTCTTAATATAATTGAGGAAATTAATCATTATAAAAACACTACTTTGGAGATCCTATTAATATAATCCATGTACACATAATATTCGCTTTTAGATGCGTAGAAATAAGGGCTATTTACGCATGAAGTAAACATTAAAAATTGGTTGGTAGGATTTAATATTTACTTAGTTACTTATTTATGAAATACATAGTTACATTATGTTTTTAGTGTTTTCAAGGGCTAGGCAATTAAGGTATTTGGAACAGTGGTATTTTTTCTAAAATGTTTGAAAATTTATACGGATATCTGTTTTATTAAATTACCTACATATAGACGCCAGCGAATACAAAATTATTTTATTTAATGATCGTAATTTATTAACAACATTAAACAATAAATAAATATATCACTAGCAGCGCGACAGTCGCCGCGTCGCGTGTCGCGGAATGCTGCTCATGAATATGAGCCCCTAGCATGGCTCGAAACTAGTCGAGTTCCTTGTCAAACAGTTACATGAGTAAACCGAAAACATAATAATTAATAAATATGTCTACGTCCTTTTTTATTTACGTTATATTAATATTTTAAACATAAAGCTGTTCGTTTATAGCAAAAATCTTTTTGTATTTGTTTTTAATTCATTTCGCTCACGTATACCTACCTGATGTTTTTCTTAAGTAAAACCGTTTATTTTTAAGTGCTTGAAGTAAATAAATACTGACACTCAGGTCAATGTCATTACTTAGCTAACAATGTTGAGAACAACCATCTTTTTTAACGACAAACAATTAAAAAAAACTTATATTTTTTAGAAGTGGAACAAAAAGTTTCTATGCAACGGCGTAAAGTAATCTTCTCAGGCCGTTGTTTTTAATGTGCAATAAATAAAAATATTACGCCATAAAGGTCACCATAAATTCCTATTTCACTTTCTAATTTTTATCACTGTAAGCATAATTATTTGACATGATAAAAAATTGCTTTGGATGAAATTAAGTACCTACCTAGATATTAAAACTAAAGATACAAAACAAATTTCTGTCCCGACACTTATGTTACATAGGCCTAAAACATTACACCACAAATGATAATTATAAAAAAAAAAAAAATTTTCGTCACAAAATTTTTCTATAATACGTGATAATTATGTCATTACATATTTTTCTAGTCGGTTAACATTGAGGTTATATTTTTTAAATGATTTTTATCCTTGGTGACTGATTACAGGTACCTACCTAGTTAAAAAAGGAGTATTGGACATATATTACATTTTAAAATCGGTTATAAGTTAAAAAAATATATGGCGGTACGGAAGCCTCCAGCCAAGTCGAGTTTAACTTATTTAGTGAAATAACATACTGGATAATGTAAAGAGTCTAATAAATAATTCTTTCTTGATCAAACATACCTACAGATTTTTCTTCTCGCTGAATACAATTGATGTTTTTGTTTCAATCATCTGATAGTTTATAAATTCTTAATTCCGTTTGTCAATGGATCTATTTACAAATAACCACCAATCATCAAACAAAACAATATTATATTGTATAGAGGTAACATTGTTGTTATATAGGTAACAATGTCTGTATTTTAATACCTTCAATATAACATCGTAAATAAAGATTATTTATGTGTATTATTTATTAGGTATTTTTTAAAGAAAAAAGAACATCAACACATAAGTGTATTTTACACATTTCATGACTTAAGGCAGAGAAAATAAAGAAATTTAACTTGTAAGAAATTCTATGAACAAGGAACGTTAACTATAATGTACATGAGTATTTGGATTATATGATATTTCAGGACTACGTCATTTTATTAGCCGCCCGCCTAACGTCTACCCCGTCTGTTTCCCGCCCGCCGTGTTCGCCCTACAATCGTCCTCGTTACAATACCTATGTATATTGTCATTACTTCTTATATAATATCCACTTTCGTATATTTACTATTACAATTGTATAATGTATATTAATCTACTGTTTAGTAGGCAAGAATGTTTATTTATAAATATTTTATTAAGTTTAGTAGCTAGGTACAACTAATTGTAATATACCGGGTGAATTAATAAAGGTGACACTATTTATTTGGTATATTAAATGAAGCATACCAATATGATATTTTTCTTAATAAATTCTGCAGTTTAATATTGCATTCAACTGTTTTGAAGCTAATTCTTATCATAAGTTTCCAAATTTCAGCAGTACAACACGGCTAAATGTGAATGTTAAGCGCGCAAACGGTAATGTAGCTCAGAAGAGCATTCTCAACGCGGCAGGGTTCACGCGGTACGCTAAAAGTGGCCTACGTGACTGAGGACCGACGTGCAATGGCGTCCCGCGCCAAGCGATATACACCCTTATCGACATACTCGTGGCCACAATTTTTGACACACAAATTCCGTCCGCGATAAATAACCTCAACGAATATCATCACTATGTCGTAGCAAATAACCTCGGCTTGTTATGTTATGTAACGTAGTAAAATAGAATATTTAGCACGTGCGTCAAAAATGCCCGATCAGCTGATTATTCCCTCGTACTCACCCCAGGAGTAGGCCACCCCCACGGAGAGCGCCAACAACGCCAAAACACACTGCGTTTTACACATTTTATTTCATAAATACAGATCCGTACAGTTAAATGCACATTTAGTTTGCAATACGTTGTACGAGTTTCACTGGAGGTAGATGGCGCGCGCGACACTCGCGTCCACCTCCGTCTGTTGCTATTGAGAAACTGAAGCAAAACGCCGGCTCAGTTTGCCGCGTACACGAAACGGAATCTAAATAGGTCCATTGAAAAAATATTCGCGCATGCTAGCGATGACGTTCTTATCAAAGACAAGGATGGTTCGTGAAGCAATAATGTGTATCTTCGCGATAGCGAGGAAAGGAATGCAGTTTTTTTGGCTTCTATATGTAGTTTGTTGATTTCAAATACTGTATTTCTTTGCATAAAATGCAGATTTTCTAAAAAAATGTTAATGTAACTTACAATTTTTTTTCGTTACAACAGTTGTATTTTAATTTTTTACATTTCCTCTATAACCTATTTAGTGGAACCTAAAACCTAGTTAACTTTCAAGATTATAATCTTATCTTTTCAAACAATACCTTAGAAGTGGGTCAAAATGATGGTCGCCAATTAAAATAAATAGTATAAAACGGATAACTATCATTAAAATTAATAAGCGGAAGCAAGAGAATGTAAGTTTTGAACAAATAGTCAAATGGTTGTAAAAAACAAGGTCATACACACATACATAAAAGTACTTAATTGCAAAACATTGAATGATTTTCTGTTTTCTTTTACAATTAACAAAAAAATCAGCAAAAAATATCCAACGATGGCCATGTGGCATCATACCGTCCAAAGTGATAAGTCAGCAACTTGAGTCCAAACTTCAATCCAGAAAATGAAAGTATTAAGAAATACAAAATAATTTAATAAACAGGATTCCCGATTTTATACCTGATAGAATAGTGATTAGGTGTTCAGTCAAGTAAAAAAACTATCAAGTAACAAAAATGTGTAGTCAAATAATTATTATTATCTAATTTTATGGTAGTTTGTTATAATAACGTATAAGGATGGTGATTGAAAGAAAAGTAATTAAAAAGAAATTAAAAAACACAAATGTAAGTGGAATAAATAAATAAATAAAATAAAATAAAAAAACTTTTTTTTATTTTGGTGAAGAGAGTCGACTCTTATCATAATTATTAGTACCTTCTAAAAAATAAAATAAAAACAAAAATAAAGTAAGTATAAAAATTAAACAGTGTTATTTATGAGGCAGGTTAAAGAATGCAAGTAGATCCTGAAATGTTTTATTTCACAAAACTTTTATTTAGTTTTAATTACAATAATAATAAATAAATTATAACTAGGTAACTGATTCATCGAAGTATCTCCGTTCTAATTTAGAAACTAATGTCAGCTTAATATGAATAATGATTGTATGTATAGGGTATTGCTGTGGGCGTGGGCCTGGGTACAGCAGGTAGTGTGCTGTGCTATACCATGCTACTGCTATGCTATGCCATGCCATGCCACGCCATGCCATACCACGTCATGCTATGCTGTGCTATGCTACGCTATGCTATGACATGCCATGCTTTGCCATGCTATGCTATGGCATGTCATGCTATGCGGGTGTATGTTCATATTTTTCATAATATTAATAATAAATATGTGATAAAGTTTTTGTTGAATTTTTAACGGGTTGTCTGCTTTTCACGGCCATGTCCTATAAAATGGAGTACCGAACTTCGCTTTGTTGTACTTCTGCAAAATTTTTTATTTACCTATATCATGGGTGATTTAAAATTGGTTATGTGCAAAATCTATTTTCGATTGCATTAGACGTTTTCGTCAAACGGTCGGAGTTAGGTCGATAACCCCGCCTAAATAGGTCACCAGACTTCATCTTGAATAAAATATTGTTTTGTATCCGAAATGATAATCTTCTTTTATGCATGTTTCGAATAGTCTCGATAGCCTCGAGGTCAAGGAGTTTACGAATGGGGGGTCAAATCAGGAACAACGGGAACAGTGACTTGTTTGTCTTTTTCATTTTATCTTCTTTTTTAATCTACTTTGCGTAATCAAAATTTTTTAAGAACTTTGTAATGAAATAGCTGTGGATTTTTTATGATATTATAAATAAGTAATGAATCAGTGATTAATTTTTATTATCATTGTAGATTCCGACCTGAACATACGAAATCGTGAAACTAACTAAAAGTGGGTATTGCATTGTAATATTGCGCTAGTCTATAGAGTATTAAAGGATTAGACTTGATATTTTCTAAAATTGCAAGCGGCCAGCAAATCTACTTTAATTTATCGGGGACCCGATACGATGCCCTACCCCACTGTCAAGCGTCGAGCTCATAGCAATCCCCCTCGCCTTGAGAAGGAATCTGGGACCCCTCGTTTGCCAGTCGAACTTGCGATTATCTAAACGAAGACCACTACTATGCTATAAAAAAAATCACGGAACCGTCTTAAAGCTTTTTAAAATTAAAGACTGAATAACTATTAAACTATCGATACAAATTATTGTTATGAATAACTGACTCTAAGATGGTACAAAGTTCACTCGATTAACTACTTACCTAATAAAATATTTTGTGGCTGTATTTATACAGATTTGGTTTTATGGAATCAGCCGGTAAACGAGCAGACGGATCACTTAATAATAAAAACAATCGTCGCCACCCATAGACACCTGAACAACCAGAGGCGTTATAAATGTGCTGACGGGCTTTAGGGGATTGCGAATTTGAGGATTGTTGGGAATTCGGGGTATTGGGGAGGGGGAGGAGTAATTGGGCTCCGCTAACCTCACTCACACGACGAAACCCGGTTGTTTCACGGTTTTCTCTGAGGTCGTGGTATCACTACGGTTGAGTCAGCCCATTCGTGCCGAAGCATGGCTCTCCCACGTGGCACGTAGACATGTACATACCTATTTTGCTTACCTATACAAGATTACATAGTCATATGAAACCACACATACCTTTCCTACCTTACGTAGGTTTCATAGCAGAAGAGCAAGCGCTCTTTATGTTGACTAAACAATTTTTCAGCGTGTGTCATGTTTGACACAATTTCCACTGTTGCTGTGTTACCACGAGCCAAATGTTTAAAAAATATTGCATCGTGATGCATTTTTTCCACTAGCTTTGTCACATTTTTTTGTGGGTTCTGATGATATTGAAGTTATCGACGTTATATTGAAATATACAGTACATCATGCAAAATGTTACTGTGTGTTTAAAATGAACAAATCTTTCAGACAGTTTCAGTAGGCTAAGTACGTAAATACGGAACTATTTTATTTAATCTTTGAAGGATCGAATCCGAAACGAAGTGATCCGACAGAGAACCAAAGTTACCGACATAGCCCAAAGGATCAGTAAGCTGAAGTGGCAGTGGGCCGGTCTCATTTGTCGAAGAACCGACAACCGTTGGCGTAAACGTGTTCTATAGTGGAGACCGCGACCAGGCAAACGTAGAGTAGGGCGCCCTCCAGCTCGGTAGAGTGACGACATCGGCAAGGTGGCTGGCAATGGTTGGATGAGATGAGCTGAAGACCGACCGATATCAGTGGCGTGCCATTGGAGAGGCCTATGTCCAGCAGTGGACGAATACGGGCTGATGATGATGATAATGATGATGAAATCTTTGCTTACATAATTTTTCATCACATCTATAGAAGTCGAAACCTACTTTTCACCTTTACGTTATTTTTTATCTAGATTGATTTCAGTTTCCAACAATAAATCGCGAATAGCGACTAATAAAACAATACACTACTCATGTCACATGACGGACATGTAATAAATTTTATAATTATAATTACCATAACCAAACGTAGGACAATGTCGCGAAACAAGATCTAGATCATAACGATAATGGCTGACGGACTTCCGGTCACGATTCAACACTTCCGGTTCCACTTCCCTGTCCGTCCAATATTTCCGAGAACTAAGAAACGGTTAGTGGCTAAGATATAAAAAAAGCTTGAGACAATTGCACTGCGAAGGATTAATTAAAGTTTTATTAACTCCAGTCTTGTTGCTTGGTAAATTGTTTTAAAGTTTCAACTGATTCTGGGATTTTTTCTTCTTGTCACGTTGATGTTTGTCATAAAGGGAGTAACCGGAATTTTTTTTTACTCCGGCTTGAAGCAGGATTTGGAACACGGTGATCTTTAGTCAATAAGAGACTGATATTCCCCGTCGCCTCTCCCAAGATGGGAGTAGCCATTTGATGATTTTCTCTACTCAAAATATAAAACAGTTGTCAGACTCATTCTGACTAGAGTAGATTCTTCGAACCTACATGGAATGCACAGAAATATATTTATCAATCTATGATGCGACGTGTTTAGTTTCCTAATTCTTCCCTAGAAGTTTTGAGAGAATTATGAAATAACCTCATCTCGCATTTCTTCAGAGCATTCTTTTCTATTCATTTTCTGTAAAAAAAAAATACAGTCGAATTGAGAACCTCTTCTTTTTTTGAAGTCGGTTGAAAATTAAACTGCACACTGCATGCTGCTGATTTCATTGCGCATGGACCTAACTATGAAAGCATTTGTAGCAGCAGGGGCTATAAGGGGTTTACCATAATCACCATGCTTAGTGCTTGGTAGACTAGTTGGATATCGTAGTTTAAAAATGGGTTTATTTATCAGCGAGGGTTGTTGCCACATCCCTGTGTAGCCTTAGTTGACTCTAAATACTCCTGGGGGAGAGTGGTATGGTGAGGGATTTACTTCGCCATCACTACATAGTACTTTAGGGAATGGAGAGTATATTTCCCTAGGATCGGAACAGGAGGATCCTCCGACCAGGCGAGGTGATCGTGATTGGCGGGCTTTGTGCCCAACAATTTCTATCAATGTTTATTCGAATGAAACTTTACCTACATGTGCGATGTAGGATTTGTACCGTCATTTTGATTTGTTCGTTGATTGTCTATGCGCTATTAAGTTTCGCCACATCACATCTCGCTAATAATGTCATTTTAGGTACCCCATCGCATAGAAGATAAAAAATCAATAACTCGAGACTACCCTCGCCTAACCCGCTATCAGTTGGCAGACGTAGCGCCCCTATTTGTGCCTTCATCACAAAAAATAGATGTCAATTAACATTTAACTTTCATTCAAAATCATCGGCCCTTTATAATGACCCTCTTCGTTACGTACGTATTTGTCAGTTGCTGTAGGG